TTTATGAGGAAGTGTGTTGAAAAGGTATATTAGAGAGTGATACTCCGTACTCAAAATAACAATCTGCCGGCTCTTCCAGGAAATAGGCGTGGTATAACATTATTAACAAAACAAAGGCAATTTGTTCTCTGCTTTTAAAAACAGTGTCCCCAACCTAACGACATTATTCCAACATTTTTCCTCAATTAAGAACAGCTGATGCATTCCTCCGGCATATTTGTTTTTCTGTCAGGTTGGCAGCAAGTTTAGTATGGTTGTTATTTTTTATGTTCTATTTTAAGCACAGCTGTTTGTTTGTTTGTAGATAAAATAAAATTAACTTTAATGTAATATACTACGTTCTGGCATCCAAAGGGGTAGAAAGAGGTCGCAAAGATATTGCGCTGAAAGTTAAAGACAATCACCAAAATTACAATAACAAAAAAAATCTTAATTATTGTAATGGATGGTATAAAAGAGTTTACAAAAGAATATTTTCGTCACTAGAAGTCAAAATGAATGTTATCGACAAAATAATACTTACAAATGTAAATAAACATTGGAAAATAATTTTAAAATGCATTGTGAGTTTTAAAAGTGTAAATGTTACTTTAAAATATTACTTCATGTATTTCAATAAAGCTACTTAGTCAAAAATTGCTTAAGATTTACATACATACTTATTTAAAAAGAGACAAGTTTATATTAAAACGAATTTTTAAACTGCTTGTAGAATGGCATCTACTTACAAAGGACATGGCCAACTTTTGTATGGGCGTTTGCATAGTTATTGAATTAAATGTACATCAATGATTTTTGGTGTTTACATTCGTGAATATTGTTAAATTAAATTGCAATAAGTAAAACACATGAAAAACCCGTAATTACAACGACAAGACGAAAATAGTTTCACTAAACCTTTAGTCAGATTACTGGCACGTAAGTGCACGAAAGATAAAGAAAGAGAATAAGATTTGCTTTTAAAAACCTTAAGGCGTTTTAATTATTTATTTATTAATTAAATAAAACAAAAGAATAGGTATTTATAATAATGATTTATTTATTAAGGAGAATAAATAAAATAAAACTAAGTCATAATTCACTTTTATATTTTTATTTTACAGTGTATTAATTGTGTTTTTGTACGTGGAATGTACTTTTTTGGCCATGTCCTTTAACCTATTTTTTTTTTCAAGGTGCCAGGTGGATCGGAAATTTCAAATTTATAATTCAGAGATTATAAGTCCAGGTTTCCCCACGTAATTTATCCTTAATCCTTTGATAATAATAGTATGTAAATAAATTTAAAAAGTAAATAAATCGTACCTAAATCAGAAAAAACATATTGGGAATATCTTTCAAACCCTTATACATGAGAAGCGGGTGTCTAAAACTCCAGGCCACCCGGCTACACCGCGAGGATTAAAAAAGTTTTTTTTACGAAAACGTGACTATTTTTTTATTGTATCTTGTGTTTGTTTACGAAATATACGATTTCTCGTTACAGTCACGCTCAGACCTCAAAAAACGGGTCTGCGGACGTCGAGTAAGGGTAACTCGCCGCTGACAAGAGCCAAACCCGAGCGTAAGGCGCGTAGCGTTCCACCCGCGCCGTAAAGACGGGGCCCTACAGGGCCGTTGTCGGATTGGCTTGCGGGGCAAGCGATACCGCGGCCTTGGCCTTAAAGTCATTCTGGTCAGGTCTGAGTTGACACTCCATCTCGACAGTCATTTGATGATTTTTCCCACACAAAAAAGACCCCAAAATAATTGAGAATAGACATTGTTTTTTGTATGGAAGAGTTTTCTCGAGTTAGAAAGGAAACGGTGCCGTGCACAACGATCTCTGATCGTGCTTCTCAAAAGCAACCACGTAAAGTTTCACCTAGTACACTTTTTTTTCTACTTTTCTTTACCTATGAAGATTAAAAACCTAAAAGCCTGAAGCCAAGGGCAATGAACTTGTTTACGTAGTTCACCTAGATTTAGTACTTGTCGTAAAACTGAAGACTTACGGTAGGACTGAATTGAAGCTTTTATAGAAAAAACTAGGACACTACTATCTCGTTCATCAAGCATGGTTGTTGGACATGAGAGTTTTTTTTTTTTTGTTTTTTGCAATATGCGGGAACTTGGTCGTTGTATCACCTGGCGGTAAGTGTTAAGATGCGATCTACGATGGAGCAAGCCTATCTATTAGCAATCTATTCTTTTGGGTCTTGAAGACATCCTTCAGGATATTTTATTATTTTATACTCATTAATTAACAGACTCCTTTAACTTGATTACTCATAACTTTAATCGCGCTCCTGAAATTTTGTTACAGAAATTATTAAAAATGAAACCAATGAAATATATGAAGAAAAAAATAGCATACAATTAAAGTTTATTTCAGAATAATGAGTACTATTATGTATTTAAGCACAAAATTTTAATCGGTTAAGCTAAAATTTTGTGATGTATGTAGATTAAGTTAGCATAACCATAAATGCTTAGCTGTATGACTTTGTTCTAAATCCATAAAAGTCTTAAGTTTTAAAAAGTTTTTCCGTAAAATGCCTCAAAGATATTAATTCCCATATTTTCTAAGGTGAGTAGTTTTTGTAAGGTCTTCTCTGTTGCATCATTATTTTAGTCTAGACAATGAATTTTACTTCGTTGCTAGAATTTACTCTATTATGAACTTTTTGTGTTTAAAGGCACTGCAGTTGAATGACCTTCCAAGAAAAGGGATCCATTTTTCTGAGCTCTGAGTTTTTGTTAGTATTTTTACAGAACAAGGCGTCAAACGATCAGGCATATTAACTGAAAGTAAGCTGTCAGCGCGCTTTATCAACACCAGTAGAGACAAAACAGCTTTGCGGATATTTAGAGAATTGGAGTTCTGGGGATGGGGAAGAATTGGGCCTTCGGTGACCTGACTACTTACCTTACCTCACTCGGTAAAGCACAATGCAAGCGTATTTCACACCATCGTCGGTAAGGCTGTAGCATTACTCCGATCTACCATTTGTGCCGAAAAATGACTGTTTTTTAACATACGAGTATTGTTACTCTTCACTTCTATTTCCTTTTTAATCGGAATTGCGTCAGCGTTTATTCACTATCATGTTTTGTTGGTAAGGGGTGATGGAGAATCTTGACGCCTTCCCATAAGCAAGTTATTCTCTCATTTAGCTGCTAAATGGCTACATTAAAGAAATATCAAGCGCCATACTACGCTCATGCCATTACGCTACTCCACAATAACCCAGTAACACTACAACGTCCATTAATGTAATACTGACTACTTGGACGTGTTTCCTCTATACAAATGTAGCGATGAACAGCAAACGAGCTATTGTGTTAAGCCATTGTGTGAGGGTTATTGCGTGGTTGTGTTTAGTTACGTCATTGGACGCCATTTTTAAACGTTTTGTAATATTGTATAATATGACGATAGTAATTAATAATGCTCAATTGTAGGCTGCATCAACCCTTACCACATCACAAGTAGTGCACATATACTGCGGCAGTCCAAATAAAATCCGGCTTTACCTGAGTGATACCACGGTCTCACAGAAAACTTGCGTGAAACAACGACAGCGTTGTGTTTCGCCGTGTGACTGAGGTTACTGGAGGCCCAATTCTTCCCCTCCCCCAATTCCTTTTCCAATCCCTAATCCCCAAAAGATCGGCAACGCACTTCTAGCTCCTCCGTTGTTCATCATCATCATCAGCCAATAAGTGCCCGCTGCTGAGCAAAGGCCTCTTCTCCACGGATAAGGTTTGAGCATTAATCACCACGCTTGCTCAATGCGGGTTGGCGATTTCAAACTTATAATTAGAAATTATAAGGCCAGGTTTCCTTACGATGTTTACCGTCACCGTATGTCAGTGGTGTCTAAATAATCATAGAAAGTACATATAACTCGAAAAAAGTCACATTGGTACTTGCCAGGTTTCGAACCCACATCCTCATGCATGAGAAGTGGGTTTCTTAACCTCCGGGCCACCACGACACCCTCCAGGCCACCACGACACCTCCGTTTTTGCAGGTGTCCAATGGCGGCGTTGATTGCTTACCATCAGGTAATCCGTCTGCTCGTTTGCTAACATATTACAAAAAAAAATCACCCTTTATCCTTGGGTTTGGTGACCTGCTGTTGTATGGTGTTATACAGGTTTCAATCCCATCCGAATCCCCAGAAAATACATCTTTTTAAAAAATATTTACTTATTTTACATTTTATTGAACACCATAATAATACACATAAATATTACAAATAAAACTACACTAGATTTTAAGTTGCTTTTTTGATAATAATATCAACAAAAGTTTGACTGCTGACCAAATTAAATTATAGTATGAACAATAACACAAACATCGATATCAATTCATAATTATGTCTACACAATCAACAACAACATAAAAATTATAATTCAAAACTAACACATTAACTAAAATAATCACTGAGAACTCCCATCATAATTTATAAACAAAAATAAGATAAAAACGAAACATTAGCGATTGTATTAACATTTATTAAAAAAATAAAACCAAAACATTAGCAGTTGTACTAATGTTAGTAACGTAATACATGTGTATTAGAAAAATAAACCAAAAAAAATAACAAACAAATCTAAATCAATCAATTTCAACACACGCACTGTATTTATCAATCATAAAAATGTGTATTTATTCATTTCATCAATCAAAAATAAATATATAAATAAGCGAGCAGTCGAAACAGTCAAATTATTACCAAACATTTGTTTTACTCTGTCACGGATAATTTTCAGGCTCGCGCCACCGTTTCAGTTTCGTTTCAGCAGCCATAGCGATCTCACGTCCCTTCAGCGCGCCGACCTTACGAAACTTTCAGTTGTACTCAACAATCCAAAGTTACAAAAAGTGCTTCAACACCAAATAATAAATAATAAAACATTAAAATAAATAATACAATTCATAAATTTTAATTCTAAATTAAAAATACATTTTATTTATTTTTGAAGTCAATTTTTAGTTTTTTTAGTTTTTTTATTATTTTTATGAGTGTTTCGAGATATTTGTTTTTTTTTTGTGATAGTTGAGTGGTGTGTTATTTTTCTTTGGTGATTGTGACATGTTAATTGGTCAAAATAGGTGACAAACATGTTTTTGGGCCTGAACAGCCTTTGTGCGGTGGATTGGAAGTGAATTGGACGTTATGCTATTATCACATCAAGCGCATACTAACAATCCTCATGCCTTTTTATGATGACATTGTAAGTATTTATTATTAATTTATTTATTTGTTTAACTAGCTGATATTTAATTTTGTATTGGGATAATTTTTTTCTAGGCTTTTTATGTTACATATTAAATGTGACTGTTAAAAATAATATTTTATAGTCCTTGATATCGCATTTAGAATATGATTTTTATAATAAGACGGAATATAAAAGTAATCGATATAATGACAACGTAACATAAATTAAATATAAAATTTTTATTTAGCCTTAGACGCAATTTAAAAGGCGCCTTCATAAGATTTTTTCTAAACGGTAAAATTATATGTATTACCACATTTACGTATTATTAAAAATATAATATGTGTTTTACATTTTTTTTTATTTTGTATGAAATAGTATTTTAGTATTTGGTTATAATACATGGTATTCAAATATTTGTATTGTTACTGAGACCTTTTTAATCTTATCGATTAAAATAAATCATAAAATTTATGATTGAAAATGCTATGTAATCTTTTCAGATAAAAATGATTTAAGGTGTAAAAATCATTTATGACTAGTTCCGTACTCAAAATAGATAACTGTTTTTTTTACAATTTATTCTAAATTTTATTTCATCGTCGTCACATAAAATTGATGTTCGTGATTGCGTTCGGGATTGTTTTTAATTATTTATATATCTTTTAAGCATTAATTAAATTACTTCTTGGTACCTAAATTACACAAAATAAAATTTGGAGTATAATAAAACATTAGAACTTTTTTAATAACATTATTAATGAAAAATACCTTAAACTCGAAAACTCTCTCGTTCGTACCGCTATTCTAAAATATGTTTCGGAATAAATTTCAATATGTATATACAAATGGCCGTTACAAAAACAACTTACGCTAAATATTGTAAAGAAATATGGACCCAAAATGCTTCCTTTAGGAAATGGTAACGCATCACACACACGTAAACGTGTTTTGCATACAAATTGTCGAGCAGCATATATTATGAATAACAAAACGAGTATCCTTATCGTTTTGTTTAATTTAAAGTTAGAAATAAATATAGAAAAATCATTTATTTGTCACATAACAGTAACAAAGGCTCAAGTAAATTAATTAAACACAATAGCAATAAAAATAATAATGCTTGCTAAGAAACTGAGAAAGATCAATAAAATATCTTGACTTGCCTCATAAGGTTGTGAGTTGGCTACATGTGGAGTGTGGACTCAGCTATCATTGTGTTGGTAGTTGTATCGCCAAATGGATTAGTCCCAAAAAGGACTGTCTTCACTAGTCTAATCGAGTCTGGTAAACACCTCTGTGGTTTAAACAGCGAGTGGCCGAAGATCGATCCCAGTGGCGTGCAATAGGAGAGGCCTATGTCCAGCAGTGGACTGAAAAGGGCTGATGATGATGATGATGATGATGATGAAACACCTCTTGGGCTTCATCAGATTTCTAATCGTTCGTTTAGTATTTAAAATAACGTAAATGTGTTATAATTAAAAATGTTTAAGGTTTAGGTCAAGTTTAGGTGAAGGCTAGACCTATCTGTGTTTGGAAATTAAGTCAATAGGGCTTTTTCTATCACTTGGGATTTTTTTTTCTGTACGTTTTAGTTTTAAGTTGTTTTATGATGTGAACTCATTCTTTTACTTCAATAAGATAAATAACAAGCAATATTTGGTGTACTATGTGCAACCATTTTTGAAATAACATCTTTATTTGAACTGTCACTTAGGTATTGCTAATAAGAAATTCTTACTAATTACCAAAGTCTAACCTTACGACCAATACTTTGCGCTCATATATATCTGGACAATAACTAAAAACTCCGTGCTTAGCAGTCGTTTTTGCATCCACAATTCATAGAATCTCACACATGGAAATTCATTTGAGAATGACCAAACTGCGTGTGTTTGCAAATGGTTTGGGTAGTTAGGCTGAATCAACAGAAACTCCAGCTGGAACTCTGGACAACTATCCTTCACAGTTTTGTGTGGGAGAGCAAATATATTGATCGGAGTTTAATTAGTTAGTTTTGCATGGGACCTCGTGTTGGTGGTTTTGAGACCCCAAGTGTGACTATACAAGAAAGAATTTTGGCTAAATTTTACTGTTGAGTCTTCATTATCATTATCATCCTAATAGTTTAATGATAATACGAAATTGTCTTAGTGGCCCGGAGGGTAAGGCGCCCGCTTCTCACGCATAAGGGTGCTGGTTCAAAACCTGGCAACTACCAATGTGACTTTTTCTTGGACAAGCCAAACTGGACTTCTCATTTCTCTAACCTCAAGACTTCTCCTGGTGAAAAGAGACATTTGCTCAGCAGTGTGCATTTATGAGCGGCGAGAGGGAGTGTCAGTCTGTTTCTGACTAAAAACCCAGGGGTAGTAAGTCTCAATCAATAAGGCGACACGGCCACGGTGCCGTGCTGAAATCCCCGCGTCTGGCTGGGTATTTTGTTATAATTTAGAACATCAAAAATTAAATGAGTGTTGCAGCCTGTTTCCCGGTGTTTGGTTGTATTTGTGAAGTCAAATTTTGAAACAAAATTTTGATGCAAATGTTAAATCAACTGATTGAGATTGAGCTGAAATTTTGTATTGATGTTTATTTTTTTCCCTAATAATTCATTTCATTTATTGTCAGATTAACTTAGATCAATAAATGCCAAGCCACGCAAACCCAACCGATGTATAAAAAAAAATATTTTTCAATTTTAAAATAAGACATTATCGGGGTCTATGGGAAATATGTTCTTGGTCAGCTGTCGTTAAGGCTCTGGTCAGTAATACTCGGTGGTTTTATGTGAAAGAGCCAATATTCTGATCGTAGTTTAATTAAGTTTGGTATGCGTCTTTGTTTTAGTGGTCCGTTGGTTGTTGACTAACTCGTTGGTCGAATTCGCCACAAGCGTGATACTGACATGCTTAAAGTTCCTAGTGCGAATTTGTTATACGTTAAGACAATAGACACGTTTATTATATTAGGCACTCTGATTGGCATGCTCCAAGTTAAGTAACCAATCAGAAAGCAATACGATAAAGTTTTGTTGTCACGTTAATGTAAAATAATTCGTACTTACCGCTTGGATAGGGATTTTGGTTTTCATAATAATTACTCGGCTTAAACATTTTTTGGAAAAGAAGGTAAATAAGTGAACTAGTTATTGAATTGCTCACGCCGACGGACATTTGCAGGACCTGAAGGGTCATACACAACCGTTGCCGTTGTTTTTCAACTATTTTCAAATCTTTTGTGATTTAACGTGAGGCATTTCGTTTTAGTCCAAGAGACGGTTGAGTGCCTTCTCAGCTGAGTAATAGTAATAGTATACTAAGTGTAGGAGAGCTATGCTTTGGCGCTGATGGGCTGGCTCGACTAGTGTTACACCATGACCTTACAGAATACCATCGTAAAACAATGCTTGCGTCGTGTTTCGCCGAGTGAATCCTTCCCTTCCATCCTCGAACCCTCCATCTTTAACTCCTTAACACATTCAGTGCCCCCGACGCGTAAGTGCGTGCGAGGAAACGCACATACGCGTCGGGGGCACTGAATGTGTTAATAACCTATAAAGTATTAAAAACTTCTTTAATATTACGAGTAGCCCTGGACATCGCTGATTGCTTACCATCACGTAATAAATACAGCTCTGTATTTAATCTATTAATTAGAAAATTTTTACTTCAAGTTAACCATTGCATGGTCTTTTCCATTACAATGAAGACGCCTCTTTCATCCCTTATTTTATGTAAAATGGTACATTTCGAGTATACTGTTTAGTTCCATCTTCAAGTCGTGGAAAATCTTACTAAGTTACAATTTCAGAAACAGAATCTTAATACTACTTGTATAAGAACTTAATTTTTAGAAACTAATTGGCTCGTTGTAAAATTTTACAGCTCATTTGCAATGTACATAATATTATATTTATCATTAACTGTAATTTTAAGATATAATTATCATAAAGATTATGTGTGTTAGATGTTTATCTTTTGAATTACATCTATAATAAACCTAATTAGCAGCGAAGTCTAGTCAACAGTAGCAATTACCACTTCTAAGAGATTAAATAAAGTAAACACTGTATCTAATAAATGAAGTGTAATTACTATGACATAATATAAACTGTATGATGATGTTAAAAGTAGAACATTTGTTATCATTAAGGAAGAGTATGCCACTTCCCCTGGGTGACTAAACGATCACATATTTGGTATAAACTTGGCAGTAGTGTCTCTGATAAATCTGCTCCTTTTAAACTGCGGTTTAGAAATTGCTATTTGGCCCTCCATTCTGTCTTCAACGAACCACCGGATCACCTAATGGAAATCAATTGGCACCGTTCATGGCTGCTCGAATCACCGTAGTAGTGTCCCGTACGATACCAAATTTTCAATGATAAGATATTTGAGTATTTTAGGAACAGAGTAATTAGGAATGTTGATAGAAATTTCAAAGCAAATCACAGCGCCAGTGTTGTTCACTGATTCTCTGTGAAAATGCATTATCACTCTAGTTGAAATGGTCCATTTGTTTTGAATCATGACTTTTCTATAATTTCTTCGTGTCTCTTTTGGGAAGTCACTGTACGGCTGTGAGTTTTTTATGGGATAGATCGGCAAAAGAGAAGGCGTATTACCTAATACCAAGCAATAGGCACCGCTGAAGAATACCCGTAATTCCATAGTAGTTACTGCAAGTGCGTTGCCGACATTTTGTGGGTTATTGACGATTTAAAACAATATTTAAGTAAATACAAGTATTATTATGTACAATAATATGTACTACACAGGTACTTGAGCTATCTGTTACCGTTCAAGATAAAATCTTCAAGAGTGTCTTATCAGAAACTCTCAGGACATTTTGTGAGATAATCGCACACGTTTCGTTTGAAAATGTCTGAATGTCCCATTTTTGTGGAAGTGGTAGGTAATTGTTGTGTGTTGTAGAAAATAACTTACCTTTTTGTATTATTAGTGTAAAAATATGGTGGCCAACGAGCAGCTGGATTAACTGATCCTTAA